CCAGCCATCTTCCCTGTTTTCGAGGCACGGAATGGACCTTGGATACCATAATCCTATTTAAAGCGCTATCTCGGCGTTATGTGTCCTTTTGCACCTTCCCTTCCTTGGGGTCCGTGTGGCCCCGGGACGCCCGGCACTCCCGGTATACCATTTGATCCTGGAATACCAGGGAAACCCATCAGAGATTGCTGAAAGTAAAGATGACTTGTAATTAGCAGAGACGAAGACGTCACGGGATCTTAAATAACTCGAGGGGGGTACTCCTGGGAATTCTTCAGTGGCGGGGTGTGCCGCCCGGTTCTGCAAATCCTGACTCTATTTCAGACCAAAACACGTCATTTTTGACACCCGTTTTCCGACTTGGCCTGTAAAATCCATAACAGTTTTCAGGCCTTGTCTCTACGAATTAAATTACGCATGTCATCATTTATACTTAGTAGATTGATTTATAACAGCAACAAAAAAAAATTCGCATGATTATTTCTCTTTCCTTCTCATTTGGAATTGAAACGATAAATACTTTTATACACGCCAGAAGCTCACTCGAAAATAATGATTTCAGACCAAAGTGGACAAAGTTTATACCCGTTGGCCGTCTTCCTTGTTTTCGAGGCACGGAATGGACCTTGGATATCATAATCCTCTTTAAAGTGTTATCTCGCCTCGAATGGACGTGGATGGAATCAGATAAAATTAACAGTAAACAATGGACAGGTTTAAGGTCTTCGAGGAAAGATCATGCTGAAGCGAGGACATTTAAAGAAACTGCCCTACACTTTTAACGGGTAGTTTTAAGTAAATGATGATAACGACGTGAGAATAATAAAACGGTTTCTGGGTGTACCTAATCTACGATGCAGTTAAGTTCTCCTTTTTATATCTTTATGCATTTCTTACCTGGCATAAGTCTTTTAACTTTGAGGCGTTTTGTTGCTGAGGTGAGGTGGTTGTTCCCAGAGAGCCGCCAAAAAAAGGGAGAATCAGGAAAACAGCGAAATACTGAACCATGGCGATGAGAGTTGAACGAGAACACAGCGTTTACTGAAATCATTGCTACGTGCTCATCATTTATAGCAAATATTTGAAGTAAATCCTCTGTTCCGGTATATTGTTTGTTTGTTTTTGCTTGTTTCTTTTTCCTTTTATGGCAATTTTTTTGCATCTTCTTATTCTCTGTTTATGCTCGATTCAGGGTACTGAAACAGGGTCAAAAGATGAACATTCCAAAAATAAATGGCAAAACATAAATTGTTTAAAGCAACAAAGTTTTATGCATGCTATCACGACTTTGTGTTTCTAATGGTACCCGATGCCTTTCCTATTTAGAGCGCCAAAAAATAGTACTTTGCCTTCAGTCCAAGTTGGCTTCTCAATGTCGGAAAAGTAGCGGCTCCATTAAGCTCCAGCTAAACAAGCTTTAACGTGTCTGGTGTTAGACAGTGTGTTTATTTTTAAATCCCCATATCTTATACATTGAAGGGGCGGGGGGGGGGGGAATTGGGGAGGGGGGCTCCCCATATAAACCTATACGGGGAGGTGCTTCCCTAAAAAGTACCTCTTACAATTCAGTATAGACTATTTCACGTTACTTTCTTTCTGTCTACTTTTTATATTGAGAAGTTAAGAAAAATATATCGGCAGTTGGCACCACTGGAAAGAACGCCTTAAAATGAGTAACATTGCCAATTTTTGAAAGTGATTGTTGAAAACTGACGAAGATATAAGTCCTCAAAGTCGCGAAATTTTACAGACGTTTGTATGATGGGGGCCGGCACAAACTTGCTTCCCCTCCCCCGCTCCCTCCCTCCCCCACCACGTACAAAGGTCTGTAGATTTTCACAACTTTGCTGAGCTATATCTCTGCACGCTTAAGACGTATCGCTTTTAAATTTGGCAATTTTAGAGCCACTGAAACTACACTTAAATTAAATTTAAACGCTACATGAAAACGACAAGAAGACTTTCTGTTAGTGCTAGTTATGTGTTAGAGGTACAAAATATCTCCTTTCTCTACTGCTGTGACGTTATTGAGATGATTGTTCGCACAAAAAAAAAATAATAAAATAGAACAAGAACAAGAAGTAAACAGTTTTTAACGGCTATGAACCCACAGACATCGAGTTATTTCCACTCCTCTTAAATGTTGCTCATTCTTAACAGATCGTCTTCAGTATTAAACTAATACTATAAACTGTCGCCTATACATCTTCTTAGGGGTTTTAGGAAGGCCCGTATAAATGGAGGGGATTTAATATCCCAGGGGGCCTATAGATGCAGGCTGTAAGCTGTAGCAGTGCTGATCAAAACAGATGTTTTGCATTCACTGGTCGTTAATTAAGGCGATAAATCGAATTCAATTGAGGGGGGAACTTATTATACCCGGTGGGGATTATATTCAGATGTATTTTTTTCGTTTACTGCCAGGATATGGGCCCTTAACTGAAGAGGAGAGTTTACGCGGCGTTTACGGTGTTTGCCGGCATTGGCTCAGGCCAATAGACGGGATACGAAAGGGTATCCCGGTTTTTCTGTCGAAAATGATATGTTAAGGGTTAATGGGTTAGTCCTCGGGGGCGGCCTTCCCATCTTCGTACTTATTTTTGCTGTAGCAGGCGTTACATAATGGAGAACGTGACCCTACTTTTTGAAACGTATCCTAGCTGCAAAACAGTAGCGAGTTATTTATATTAGAGGCAGCCAGTCCTCACTGAGCGATAACAAAATTGTGGGTTAAGCAGCAAGTAACATAATAGAGCTTAAGCAACAATGGCGGAGGAAGAAGGAACTTGCTCTTGTAACTGGAGAGTTTTAAGCCGGTTTTCACACTATGATTTTTCGAAAGAAAAACGAAAAGATAAAAACTGGCCAAAAACCGGGTAGATTGGAATAAACTCTTGCATCACCATATATTTTATTTGGAAATCGGGCTTACAATCGCTCCTTGTAAACCAGCCTAAAAACAGCAAAACAAAAAATGAAAATGGATTACAACTTTTTTATACCTATTATTACTATTTTCTACTCAACTAAGTCGCGCAATGCGAACATCACCCAAAGACGACTGACTTTTGTAAACTTTAGAGTATATAAAAACGTACACAGCAATAGAATGTTTTCAGTCACGTGGCCAGCATCTATGCAAATTTATTGGAACAAAATATAGCGTTTGCATAAGAAAAGAGTTCAACTCCCACAGGAAAGCCTTACTAAACATAAGAAAACTATACTCTTGACGATTTGGACGTTCGTACTTCGTCGACAGTCCGGCATAACTTAACTTCCTATCACTTGCTGTATGGGTATCCTCTACCGGGTATACCCATCATCATCCCTTACCGGCTATATCCATCCAGTGTACAGCACTAATAATGATTTAGGTATCCAAATGATTGTGACGAAATCCCCTTTGACCCACGCCACAAAAAAAACTTGACAGTGACACAGACAGTGAGTCCACATCAACCTCATCTACAAATAATGATTCGGATAGTGAGATTGCTTAACATGACTTTATGCATGTAATCATGTAATAAAATGCCGATGAAATTATATTTTTTCAGTGTTACAATAATGGATGTTGTGTTGATGCACCTACTATTTGAGCATTAAATCTCTTTGTCAAAATGCTGATGAAATTGTTTTAGTTTTACAAAATATAGGACTTTGTGTAAAACTGAATCAAAATCAGGTCCTTTAATACTTAAAAGAAACTTGAAGACCCCCCCTCCCCCCCAAGGTCATCTTTTGGCATGTTAAGCCCCCATACCCATATTCCATCCACAAAAATTGAAGGCCCCCAAGTTCTCCTCAAACCCCCCCTGCACCTCCAACTTAAATTATGACTGGTCCCATATGGGCTCCTGTTGAAAGCTTTAATGTCACATTGAAGCAAACTGCACTGACATGAAAGAAATATAACAAAGATGCTATTAAAGTAATGGAAGGGTTTGACAAGAATCTCAATGTTACGAGTAAAAACATTAATTTTTTTTTCCACTGTTTGAGAGATAATCTAGCCCGCGTGGCATGCGTTCCAAAAGGAACAGAAAGAAAGAGGATGTTGGGCGCGCGAGAAAGGAGGAAGGGAAACACGTTCCTCTCCTGTCTTCTCCCTCGCGCGTGGTCTCGCGCCTAATTTCCCTTCCCTTCCCTTTTTAACTTCTGTCACGCATGCTAGAGATAATCAAGTTATCCTATAATCATATTCATCTTCCTAGCTTTACAAGGTGCGATTTTAAACCTCGAATTCCAATCCATGTTTATTAATGCCTTCGAAGTGTTTGGCTACAAAAGGAATCGCGCATTAATTAAAGATTTAATTAAAGCACGATTTAATTAAATCGTTTTTACCTCACTATGTAATTAAAGATTTTCGTTGATATTTTAAAGGCAACGATTTCCTCTTCAGCAGTTTGTTGTTGTTGTTGTTGTTTTGTTTTGTTTTGCTGAGATGAAAGATAGATTACCTTTACTTTGACTACATCTTTATAGGAAATGAATGACAATCTGATGGTTTACATGGTAACCCAAGAGAGAATGGGTTCCCCTGAAGCTGTAGTGACATATTTTTCATTTATAGCATATCACCTACAAAAAGCATTGGCAATCAATCATTCTCCATCACACTGAGCCATTTTTGTCTTGTCGCGTAACAGGAAGGAGCATCGCGTGACAAGACAAACCAGCTGCATGTGGGATTAATTCCCTACGCGCTGAGCCGCCGATAATTGTGTGGTCAAGAAAAGTGCCTAGAGAAGCGTTGTGTGACAAAACAAAGAACTGCTGCACAGGACTTACATACTGACCTAATAATAAAAAACTTTGATACTGTTATAAAAGTTTACTATTTACAATATAATACGACGAAAGCAGCCACAAAGGGCTAGCAATAAAATAACCAAAAACAATCCTTTGCGCCTTGCGCTTTACAGTCTATATTAATTTTGTAGAATGGCATTCCAAGGAAATTGAAACAGCGCCAAACTTTAAGACTCCCCTTCTTAGGACTGGGGCCTAGATACTTCTTCAATTATTATCCGGGACACTGAGCCCCACCCAGTGTTAGCATTACCCAAGCTTTGGCCACTACACTTTCCTACCCATAAATCCACCCTAACTGCACCTTGTGGGACGTTTTCACAGTACCCCTCAAATGACCGTTGGTGCAGCAGAGTAGGGGTCCCAGATGGCCAGTTGTTGTAAACAGCAGCCTCAATCGCCATTGGTCCACTGCATTCATTTCCATTGAACTTCAAATACCAGCGATCACACTTAGAATTACTTCCATAGACCCCCATGTTTTCCAGGAATAAGACTCTGAGCGCTGAACTAGACTGCAGCTTGTTAAACACACAGTCCTGGAATAAAATCAAACAAACCAAACATATTGTAGTTAAGGCGAGCAACCCTGTGTAATGATTGTGATTGATACTAACAACTCCAGTCAAGATTACTTCCAAATGTTTAAAAACTCTGAGATACCTTAAATTTGTGTTGTCCTTATCCATATGGCCAGGAATCGTTTTATCACGCATGATGGTTTTCCTTTTTTCATTTAAAAAGAACCAAATTATAGGGAAATTCAAAAAAGAATGTACTTTCTTAGCACCACACACATTGTTTCCAGTTGGTTTGTGGTACTGCACTTGCTTGTCTTGCTTGGCGCTTTCTCCTTTCCCTCCTTTGTCTCCTTTTCTTCCTTGATCTCCCACAATGCCTCGCTCCCCTTTCATTCCCACAAGTCCCAGTTCACCCTTATTCCCATAATTCCTGGTGGTCCATTCTTCCCAGGCGGCCCTTCGGGCCCTCTCTTTCCCCTGGGACCCGACATTCCTTGTGATAATTTATCACCAATATCTCCCTTAGTAGGAACGCCTGGCATTCCCGGCATGCCATTGGATCCTGGGATGCCTGGTAAACCCACTATAGACCGCTGAAAGTAAAGATGATTTAGTAGTTTAATGTAGAGACGAAAAAAACTGAAAATTGAAAACTTGAAACGGAACGTTTAAATACCATGACTCCTTTAGTTATGTAATAGGACAAGCAAGGAACAATAAAATAACCAATTGTCAGTATGAGCTAAAGAAAAAAGATTAGAATGAAAGAAGCTTAACAGTTAACGTCGGACTTCAGGTTCTTCGTGGATGAAAGATCATGTCGAAAAAGGACTTTTATGTCGATGATAAAGTAGTAAAATATATGGTTTTTATCTTCATGTATTTCTTACCTCGCATAAATCTTTTAACTTTGCGGTGTTTGTTGCTGAGGTGATCATGAGGTGGTTGTTCCCAGTGAACCGCCAGGAATACAGAGAATCAACAAAACAGCAAAATATTGAACCATGATGAGAGCTGAACAAGAACGCTGCGATTACTGAAATCAGTGCTACGTGCACATCATTCAAATACTGCTGAATATTTGACGGTCAATCTTCTGTTCCTGTACATTGTTTGCTTGGTCTTGCTTGTTTCCTATTCCATATATGGTAATTATTTTGCAAATTGTTTATAGTTTATATGCCTACGTGCAAGGAGCACTGAAACAGGGTAAAAAAGATGAACATTCCAAACACAATGACAGATTATTTTTTTTTTGCAAGAGCAAACATGTTTCCTTAGTTATGCTTGCTGTCGCTTTGTGTTCCTTATAACAGCAGCCTTTTCATTTCCTTTCCAGCACGCCAAAAACTTTTAGGCGTTGGAAAAAAAATTGCGTTAAGTTCAAGTTAGTCAGCGTTAGGTCTGCTGCAGCTAAAAACGTCCTTAATTTCTTTAGCAAGTGTTTGTTTGTCTACTTCCCTTAATTATCTTATACCGGCACGTATCGTCATGCATGAAACTGAACTGATTGGTTTAGTTTTAAGATAACCCCTTAAGACAAACTAGAAAGCCATTGTTCGTGTATGTGTTGGATTTTGCGGAAGCTAAGCATCTCCTTCCTCTTTTGCTGTGATAAGGCTGTCGAGGCGTGGTGGCTGTTTACAAAAAAAAAAAAGTCAATCATAAGTTTCTTTGGTCATGCTCGGTGAAAGGTTCTGATCAATGGAGCCACGGTGCACGTGAAAAACTTGATAGTGATGATGACTTTTATTTCCTTTTTCCTTTATATGCAGTTTCTCTGATCTTTCAGGCAGCCACAAACTTTGTGCTGTGACTTGTAAACGTGGTTCCTAGGATCATACCAGGTCATGTTACGTATACAAATGGGTATTTTATTCTGAATCGCTCGCACCCAAAGGAATAAGCTAAAGCGAAGGGCCCTTAATAGAAAATGCTTTTGTGTACGCATACATAGAGCCGAAATATGGTCTTCCTGAGGAAGAGTTAATTATCTCTAATTTTGATGTATTAAGCAGCATTTACCATGTTTAGGGTTATCGTTATAGCCTGTCGTCACAGTTACATAGACTATGGAAACGCATGTCCGATTAAGTGTAATTTAGGCTAGTGACTTTTAGCATTAGGACCTCATTTTTCCCATTTTTCAATTTTAAAGACAACTCTAGATCTAAATTGTAAGATCAGTCTTTGCCTCGTCTTAAGAACGCCGCTAAAAAAAGCAACATCTTTGTTGCAGCAAGTTTTAGTAGACATTGACCCTACATTTTGCTATTTATACTTGCTGCAAATTGGTTACAACTAATGCTCTACCTACTGAAATCACCAAAAATGTTATTATCATGCTCTTTGCTCCTTGCGAAATTTGTTTGAGATCTCCTTCATAACTCTAACGGATCATTTTGTGTATGGGTTAAATGGCACTAAGTTTATGACTTTCGCACAGAATTGACTTAAAACAACGATATCCTCGTGACATGTCCCCTTGAACCCTTTAAGTCCCAACTTTATTCAAATACAAATTATCCACACTGATCTTCATAAATTTCCTTCAAGAATTGGTTAAGATAATTTATTTGTAGATCAAAGCTCTGTCTATCAGGTGATCATTTCATTAATTTTCACAGCATTTTCTGTTGATTAGGTATTGACTCTGTTAAGAGAAAATTGACTTTGGTCGACTCTCTTGGGACTTAAAGAGTAAAGCAACTACTGCAGAGGAAGTTTTCGTTGTTGAAGAAACCTTGCTTTAAATTGTAAGAAGAGGGCTTTAACCCTTTTGTTCACGTCATGATTTGTAGGAACGATCTCGAATCGCTTGAACGAAAAATAAAGAGATAAAAACTGGCCTAAACCAGATAGATATTAAGAATCTGCTGCAAGATAATTGGAGCAATTTTTGGAATCACCAAGAGAATATGACCACGTTTACAAACTCTAGCTCTTTCGTAAATAAGTGGGCGATTTTTATAAGAATGCAAGATATTCAGCTTCCATTTCTCCAACTTAAGGCAAATAATTCCAATAATTCACATGTTACATTTTCTATATTTCTATATGTTCTTCGTAGGAAAGTTAGTGAAACAGCGCCAAAGAGTAATTGAGACTCCCTTATTAGGACTGGGGCCTAGATACTTCTTCAATCGTTATCCCAGACGCTGATTTCCTCTCGGTGAGAACGTCACCCAGGGTTTCGCCACTACACTGTCTTACCCAAAATTCCACTTTAACCGCGCCTTGTGGGATATTTTCAAAGTACACCTAAAGTGACCGCTGACGATGTAGATTATGATCTTTCCCAGATTGCCAATAGTGGTAAATTACAGCCTCAGTCGTCATTGGTCCATCGTATTCGTTTCCAGTAGACTTGAAATACCACCTGTTACCCAGATTATAAGGACACTCATCCATGGAATTAATTCTCCCAAACTAATACCATTTGCCAACACATAGCGTAATTTTAGGTAACTATTAAATTACATTTCCCTTGACTTTGTTTCGTGTGGATAGAAAAAAGGAAAACCATTGTACGTGAGTAAAATCATTCCTGACCATATGGATATGGGCAACAAAACTTTAAGCTATTACCAATTTTAAATTAGGAGGTAATCTTGGCTGCATTGAGTTGGTATGTACAAGAGAGGAGAATGGACAGAGAGGGAAACCCCCAGAGTAGCCCTTGAAATTCATGCGAGGTTGGTTTTCGGAGAAGTCCTCAGTTTCATTTAATCATGAAAAATAATGGGGCATTATGCTCTCTTGGTGTGTCGGTATTAAAATATTAGGCATTGTTTGCTTTGAGGCAGTCGCGCGTGGACTCGATGACGTTTCAAGCAATCAATTGAAACATTTAGACGTTTTAGGGATCAGACTCTAAAAATAACTTTAATTTATTAACAATTTACATCTCATGGTCACCTCATCCGATTGTCTCTCTGTCCGATTATTCACTCTTGATATCTATTATTACCCTGTCGGTCGACTTAGTACGGTATGTTTGATTCTATTCCAGGACTGTGCGTTTAACAAACTACATTCCAGCTCAGCACTCAGAGTGGGGACGGTCTTCTTGGAAATATTTTCTTTTGAAAAGGAATGAATTTTCTTTGGAGTGTGTTATTCATGTTTCTTATTCCATTTACGTATACCTTAATTTTCCCGTTATCAGTACCGCTAAAAATTGTTTCCAGTTGGTTTGTGTTACTACACTTGCTTGACTTGCTTTAGCGCTTTCTCCTTTCTCTCCTTTTTCTCCTTTTCTTTCTGTTGTAAAAATGACAACTGTAGATAGTCTATATTAGCTCTCTAAAGATCGCTGAACGAACCATTAGAAACCTTTTGAGTTTCATCAGGGTTACCCACTGAGAATATAGTTTAAAACCTCTTAAACATAGCAATGTTGACCGTATTTTAGTAACTAAACAGTAGATACAGGCATATTTTATCCCCTAAAAATTTTTCATCTGTTGGGATTCCCTACCTAAAGCTATAGTGATGCGAACATTACAGGGATCAAAACTTGCCTTTTCGAAAATTTCAGCCAGAAAAATGGCTCCCGAAAATTATAGGTGACCTTTTTAGGGTAAAAATACGTTAAAAATGGGGAATTATACCATTTTTTGGATGTTCGAAAATCCTAGCAGAAGCAGGCCAGCAAGAAATTTTACAACAAATGTTCTGAAAATTATAGATCTCAAATCGTCTTCCGAACAGATATTTTCCGAAAATTGACGTTGGGTGCCCCTGAGTTTAAGTTTAAGCTAATCAAGACCGAGAGAAAATCAAAGGATCAATTATCTATAGTAAACTTTTTCAGAGTGATCTCATGAGTAGAAATGTATCTTTTCATTCTTCGTTCTTGTCTTCACATGTATGAATAATAAGCCACCGGTCTCGTAATCAAAATATTTCTTTACCAGTGCCCCATTCTGTTTCACTTCGGTGACCTGCTTAGCCTCCATCTATTGATATAATATTCTGTTGAAACAATGGAAACGATGCCTTAATTTCCATGTACTTATTCAGCTTCCTTGAGTGAGACCCCAATGCTACCAAGGTTAATCAGATACAAGCAATTCATCGGATGTGCTGAAGATGTAATTTAAAAATTATTTGAAAGCGCCTGATTGAATATAAAGAACTATGCTGGTTGGTGCTTGAGATTGAGCGTGAGATTGTATTTTGCTATCTTTAGGTGTTGGCAAGAGAAGTTTGTGGTGCGCTGGTTTTACTGATCCGCCCAAACCATCCGGGTGGTATCGCAAATATATAGAGAATAGAACAATAGAGGAGACGTCAGCCAATCAGGAAATACTGACCACACTATAACTGATAAAACTGATTGGACAATGCCTCTTTTATCTTTATTGTTCGTTGTTGTGATTTGAAATGGCAAAGGGAAGTACCTTTGAAAAAACTTTTGCTGGCCTTCTCGTTAAATTGAAACTTTTTTTAAGAAATAAAAAGAAAGAGAAGAAACGGCATTCTGATTATCGATGCTGACATTGCCATATTCATTAAACAGCGACATTTATATCGATCTGTCTTATCTTTGCGACATATATTATATCTAATTCTTCCTTGCTTTGGCGAGGCAAGTTAACTGTGTTAATTCTTTTAAAGAACTAATCGGATGAACCGAAGCTAACCGATAAACTGTGAACATCAAATTAGAATAGAAGAAATTAAAATCAACGATTGTTTTAGCGGCCGACCGGTTCATTTAATAGTTTACCAAAACGTTAGGGCGTAAACAGAACGACAAAAGCTGTAGTGTACATGCACAAAGACTACGTTTCATTTGACCACTGATTCTAAGCTAGAGAAGGGAAAACGACGTGTAAACGACGAATTTAAACAACGAGCTAACAACACAAAAATTTGGCATTGGTTGTCGCCAAACCAAAATTGATTCATGGTGTGTTTATGTTTTTTGTGCGAGTTTCTTTTTAAAATTCATAAAAACAAAACTTTGAACGTGAGTGGTAACACCCTTTGTTTTAGATAAAAGCTAGAAATGCAAATTGTTATTGTGGTTGCGGAAACCATTGTTTCAGTCGTGGTCGGTGGTGAACTTAAAACAAGACTTACTATTATTTTGTATTTTTTACTCGTTATTTTTCAAAACGGCCAACGCGAATAGACGTTCTTTTAATTAATGTCCCTGCTTCAGCATTGTTTTACAGCCGATGCAAAGTTTCTGACATCCTTTCGAACCGTTTCCATTCTTGCATTGTGGCATGGTGCCGACGGGACATTTTCTTTCTTTTTAATTTTGGCTCAACATTGTGCCTTCGTTTCTTCTTTTAATAGGGAGCTCAAGCAAAGGACATTCGACGCACGTCAGATAGGAAGAGAGAACTTTTTCTTTCTTAATATGTCATGAAACCCAAAGTTTTATTACTAGTAGTCTCAATAGAACGTTTTGCCCGAAAATTTGGGTATCATACTGCTCGGCAGAATACTGCCCAAGGATACAAAAGACGCACCTTCGGTTGACGTGCGTCCAGCTCAAAACGTCTTTTAAGCTCACTATTAAACTGCTGAATATTATCAACATGCAGAACGTTGTATCTCCGCCTTTCCTTTTCTCACTTGATCTCCTAAACCTGTGTCAAGGGCAAGGCGCTTGAATTTGTGGTATCCCGTTCACGCGCGTCTTCATTCCCCTAGGTTTTCTCCACCTTTAAGTACTAATATTTATTGCTTTTATTGCGCATTTTAACATTAAAAGATATGATCAAATGCGCAAGTACTTGCCATGTAATATATTCAGCCGGATCTCCATAACTCTCTGATCTCCACTGACTAGTTACCCGAGAAATGCGTAGAGAATATTCAGTTATTCATGTTGCTTGTTAAGGGGTGCACTGGTTGGTAATACATTCTAACCCCGAATCATTCATTTTATACAGTCAGTAGAACCACGATTTTTGATTCGGATAACTAGAATTCTTCGCTAACTCGAACTAAATTTCCTTTCCCTTGATCAAAACTTTACTGAAATTTACCCTGATAACTCAAATTCCCCTCTTTTTCGCCGTTTCCCTTCAGAGTTCGAGTTATTTGGTCGTTACCGTAAACTGGTCGCCTCTAGCTTACAAAAGAGGTTGCGAGCAGAACTTCGACTGCATGTAGAAGAATTCAAAAATAATTGAACCATATTATCACGGTAAAATATCGTCATTTGTTGGAGTTTCTCACAGGTCAATTCTTTTCTTCAACCGTCGTATTTCGCTTAGCAGCGCCCAAGAATTAACCATTTATTAAGTCACTTCAGATGGTAGTGTATCTCCAAGAACAATTATCTGCTAAAAACAAATCTACTCTTAATTAATTTTTAGGCACCAGACGAGAAAGATTATTACGAAAGCTTAGGGCAGAAAGAGACGTCATATAATCTTATTAAGTAAACGTGTCGGAAAGCTAAAGGATGTTAGTTTATAATTAGAGGCAAAAAGTTTTTTGTCTTCAAATAATTTTGTCAGCAGATCTCATTTTTTGCTGCAAAATCCAGCGTTCTAAACCGATCGCCTCCTTTGCCAGCGAGCAAAAGCGAAAATCAGAAACAAACAAATAAACAAACAAAAGTAAGTAAATAACACCTGTTTTACAGGCTATAACAAGAGGCATAGAAAACTACACCCGTTTTCATAAATAACGAATTATCATCCCTTTCGAAAATTCAATTTTGATTGAAGACCCGGGGATTCCCTTTTCTTTAGCCTAGTAAACGGTTACCTGCCACTGAACAACAGTAAGTTGGTTTTAAGGTCTGACCAGGAGCATCAAACAGGCTCAACTAATTCACTATTTAAAGAGTGTGAAAGTTGGGTCACTTTCGTGCTATGAACCTTTTTGTAGAATTACGTGATGTTCGTTTAAAAAACTGCTTAATTCAGTTTGCGAAACGAAATGAGTTAGGGTCATAAAATAATGTCTCTTTGTCTTAAACAGGGCAGGGTCAGGTTACTGTAAATCAAGTCTAATTACCACGAAACAAAATAAACCAACTCTCCTCTCTTTCTTCTGCTGGTTGTCGCGAAAGGACAGCCCATTTTGACGCCCGTCCTAAAACAGTGCATAGCTAAGGAATGTTCCCAGTTTACGGGATCCAATCAATCCATGCTAATATTGCTAATCACTGAAAATGGCTGAACAAGCTTAGCACTACAAAGCTAGGACGCTTTGTGTCGCGTTTTATCTCCACCATTATTTACCTCCTCTTCGATAGATAGTTGTGTTCCTATTCACTGTAAGAAACAAAATAAAATGGCGTTTTTTTTTTCCTTTCTGTAAAAGGTGTAGCGGTACCAAACATCTTAATGATAGCGGAACATTAAATTTTGCCAAATTAACCAATTTTGTTTTCAGCTTGACTTATCCCTCATGCTGAAAGCTGAAGACGTCATCGAGATTTTTCTCTGCTAATTTAGGACAGTTAATTTACTTGTTATAGTTATTCATTATAAAACCATAGTTTTAGGTTAGGTAACTAACGCGCGAAATTCCATGATACTTCTTTGTTATTGTAAAAGCTGGTTTGTATGCAATGGTCACTATGTACGTGTAGTACGTGTATGTTTATACTGACAGAAGCCTTGGGTTCACGTGGTTAGGATATGGTAGAAAAGATTGCTCTCCAAGGGCGATATTGGTATCAGGCTGAGACAATGTTAAAGTAAAAGTATTTTTTTAAGGAAACCATAAAAAACACAGAAAAAGATAAAGTCGTAAAAATTTATGGTATATAAAAACCTACAAAGCAATAAAAGCCTCGCTAAATAAAAGAAAACTGTACTCCTGACGAAGTTCGTACTGCGACTGGTCCGGCATAACTTAACTTCTTATAACTTGGTGTATTTCCCTTCCCTTTCCTCGCTATTTTTTCCCCAAACAGAGAGCCGGGTATACCCATACAGCACTGCAAGGGTGATTAAAGTTCCGAATTGATTATGACGCCCCCTCCTCCCTCCCCCCCTCTCACTCGAACAGGAAAGTCTGCAAATAGCTGCATTGGATAGATGGATATTGAGAGACTGTACCGGCATACTGAGTTCAATTTTTGTTGTTAGGAGAAATAATGGACAAGATTTGTACAGACTACACTGACAAGAAAGAAATATAACAAAGATGCTACTAGGGGTACCTTCCGGCAAGTGCCAACGAGGCGAATTCCTTTATCTTTTGTGAAATGTGCCTATTCAGATCTTCGCGATGTTTTTTTTTTTCCACAGTAATTTTAGAGGTTTAAAATGGATTCCGCTATGGAAAAGGATGGCACCCAACTTCAAAACAACAACTTTGGCACATTGTAGGCATTCACTTTTTAATTATTAAACAATAACAACATGGCTTGAAGCTTTGTTGGTAAATATGAGCAAGTTAGTACTTATGTTTCATGGAAAATTCAATTGTATCAAAACTATAATCGTTAGAAAGAAAAAGATAGTTCAAATGAGGCCTTTGACTGCTGAAATTATAAACAATAATTAAATTCTGAGCAACAGCGTCATCAGGGAGAAGAAAAATGTTTCGCGTGGTAATGTAAGTGTAAAGTAAAATGCGTGAAAAGCGCAAGAATGGGGCGGAATGTATCAGAGGTATAAAAATATAAACTTGAATAAAATATAAAGATCTAATGAGCGAGTGTCACAGGACAAAGAGTCTCTTGAAAGTCGTAATGATGGTCTTCAAAACAAAAGGTCGGCAAATTCGTTGCATTCCTCACGGGAGTTTGGGGCTGTCTCAATGTAAATCGAGCAGCAACAAAACATGCTGGTTGACAAAAACTCTCGAATAAATTCAAAAATAAAAGGTCCGCAAATACGTTGCCTTTCTCACGGGGGGTGAGGACCGGCTCAATGTAAATCGACCTGCGAAGAACACTATCGTTGTGATAAAAGTTTTGAGAATATAACCCTAGACCTTTATCAACTACCGCTTAAAATTCAATTCACAAAGGAAAAAAGAACACTGAAAACCCTGGTTCTGAGTCGAGAAGCGAACACGCTACCTCAATGTAAATCGAGCTGCAAAGAATAAGCTGGTTCTGACAAAAATTTGAGCGTAAAACCGTATTTTTTAAAGCTGCTGCTTTAAACGCAATTTATAAAGCAAATCAGAGCACTAATTGCCCTTTCAAACTAGAAATCGTATCAAAGCTTGCTCACCTGTTAGGTCCTCTTGAACGGACAACGAACAGCCGCACACTGAATCACCCAATTTCGGACCACGAGTTGTAAATACAAGACCATGACGTCACTACCCAAATATTGGGTCTTACTTACACCCAAATATGGTCAAAAATGCAAATTTTAGAGGGTTAATCAGAATTTTTTGAGTTTTTGCCTACATTGCGCGGCGTTAAAATTCTGCCGGCGAGTCAACCTCGCTTCTTAGCTCGGTTGCCTCGTTGACAATTAAAGTAACGGGAAGGTTTGACAAGAATCTCAATGTTACGAGCACAAACATTCCATTTCTTCCCACTGTTTAAAAGATAATCTAGCCGGCGTGGCAAGCGTTCCGAAGGGAAGGGAAATAGGATTTTGGGCGCGTGAGAAGCACGAAGGGCGCGTGAGGAAGGAGGAAGGGGCGAGTTCCTATCCTCCCTTCTCCCTCGCGCGATCTCGCGCCTAAATTCCCTTCCCTTCCCTTTCGAACGCTTGCCACGCAGGCTAGCGATAATCAAGTTATCCTAGTATCATATTTTTATCTTTCCAGCTGATTGTTATACATTTTACTAGGTGAGATTTTAATCCTCAAAATTTTTATCCGATTTTGGCAAAGGTTTCTGAGGTTTTGCCTCAAAGTGTTTAGCTACAAAAGGAATCGTACATGTTTAAGTCGCTATTTAATTAAAGATTTTCTAAAATATTTTGACGGCGAAGATAACTTCTTAAGTAATTTTTTTTCCAGATGAAAGATTATATCACGACGTTTGCTTTGCCTGCATAATATAATCAATTTAAAGACTTAAAGAAATGAACGATAATCTGGTGATGTGGCATGGTAACGCAAGAGAGAACGGGTTCCCCTGAAGCTGCAGTGATATATTTTGCATCCACAACATATCACCTTTGAAAAGCATTGCCAATCATCGCTCTCCATCACAGCAACTTTTGTTTTATCTCGTCACGCAACGGGAAAGAGCTTTTCATGACAAGACAAAACGGTTGCATCAGGGACGGACCAATTCCCTACGCGCTCAGCCGATTATTTTGTCTTCAAGAAAGGTGCCTCCCCACATAGAGAAGCGCTACGTCACAAAACGTAGAACTGCTGCAAAAAATTGCATGAATAGGAGACTAACATGCCTAAATAATTATGCAAAATTTTAATACTGTTATAAGAGTTTACAGGAGCCTAGGCTCCTGGAGTTTAATACGACGAAAGTGGCCACAAAGGACTAAAAAGAAAATAACCAAAAACAATACTTTCGTACATTGCTCTTTACAGTCTGTATTTGTAGAGTGCTATTCTAAGGAAATTAAAACAGCGCCAAAGTTAAAGACTCCTCTTATTAGGACTGGAACCTAGATACTTCTTCAATCATTATCCGGGACACTGAATTCCACCCGGTGACAGCATCACCCAGGCTTTGGCCACTACACTTTCCTACCCATAATTCCACTCTAACAGCGCCTTGTGGAATGTTTTCACAGTACCCCTCAAATGATCGATGAAGCAGCAGATTAGGGTCCCCAGATGGCCAGTAGTTGTAAACAACAGCCTCGATCGTCATTGGTCCACTGCATTCATTTCCATTGAACTTGAAATACCACCGGTTACACTTATCAGCGGTTCCATAGACCCCCATGTTTCCCTGGAACGAGACTCTGAGCGCTGAATTAGACTGCAGTTTGTTAAACGCACAGTCCTGGAATATAAAAATCAAACAAATCAAACATATTGTAGTAAGGCGAGCAACCGTGTGTAATGATTGATACTAACAACTCCAGTCAAGATTACTTCCTAATTTTTAAAAACTCTGTAATAGGTTCAATTTTCGTTGTCCTTATCTATATGGCCAGGAATCATTTTATCACCCAGGATTGTTTTCCTTTTTTCGTTCAAAAAAAATCAAAGTGGAGAGAAATGTAACTTAGTTATTTATGTGATTTGTTGGCAAACGGCGAGTGAGAGGGGAGACGTTTTTCTTTGAAATATTTTGATTTAGAGAGGAATTACTTTCCTTCGGAGCGTGCTATGATTCTAATTCCATTTACCTTAATCTTTCCCTTATCAGTACTGCTTTCTGATTTCCACACACATTGTTTCCAGTTGGTTTGTGGTACTACACTTGCTTGACTTGCTTTGACGCTTTCTCCTTTCTCTCCTTTGTCTCCTTTTTTTCCTTGATTCCCCATAATGCCTCGTGCTCCTTTAATTCCCACAGCTCCTTGCTCTCCTTTCATTCCCAGAAGTCCCTGTTCACCTTTCATTCCCTGAATTCCTCGAGGTCCACTCTTCCCAGGGGGTCCTTCGCGCCCTCTGTCTCCTCTAGGACCTGGCATTCCTTGCAATCCATTATCACCAGTTTGCCCTTTTGCACCTTCCCTTCCCTGGGGTCCTTGGGGTCCTGGAACGCTCGGCATTCCCGGCATGCCATTTGATCCTGGAATACCAGGGAAACCCACTAAAGATCGCTGAAAGTAAAGATGATTTGTAATTTAATGCAGAGACGAAGAGAAAATTGAATCTTACATACGGCATAACCCCAATTTATACTATAATTGAATGTTACGAAAGGACATACATTATTGCATTCTCTTTTGTTTGAGAACCACAATGGACAATGAATACATTAATCACCTTTAGCGTTCTATCTAGCCTCGAATAGACGTATCTGAGACTTGACGTATCATATATAATTGACAGAGATAACTGGATTCTTCTTTTTTAGAAAAGCAAGAGAAATAGAAATATATATTATCAGTATGAGCTAAAGAATGGAAATTATTGGAATCAGAGAAACTTAAGGTGGCTCCCAAGAGTAATATGGCAGTGCGCAGCCTGAGCACTAGTATGGCGCGAAAAGACAGGGAAAACGCCCTGGCGACGAGTTTGATGGCGCGAGTTTTAAAAACCGCGCGACGTCCACGCAAAAATAAACAAAGCATGGCTTCTCAGTTTCGAAATATTCCCAGAGAAAACCTTTATTGACTTTCTTCACGCCCATTACGCCCAAGTTTGGTTAGTGAAGGTCAAGTATTTATGAGAACAGACAATGTTATACGAGTTACAAGTCACTTATCTGAAACTAGATCGAGCCATGTCCTAAAGAAACAAGAATTCTTAAGCGGCAGAGCTCCTTGGTAAATTCATTTCTCTTACATCTTATTTGATTAAAGAAATGCTAATAGCAGGAATAGTGACTTTAGGGAAAGATTACAGGCAGTGAACGTTTTTTTGGTTTTGCAGTCTATCACCTCGTTTAAGAAAAAGGTTTCAAACTAGCAAAATCCTGATGGAACCTTTCCAAAGACGAACCAATCATCCTTGTACTTTTTCTTGGTTCAAAGGTCCTTCAAAGACAATGATGCACAAGAAGATGTTTTCGCACAACGAAAAAAAATTTTTGAGTCACAGACTGACCCTTGACGAAAGCAATATTCGAGAACTACAGTCTTGTGCATGCAGCTGACGACGTAATCTATTGTGATCGATGCCATAGTTTACTGCAGACTCCCCCCCCCCCCCAAACCCCTCCCAAAAGAAAAACGTCGCCGTCCGCATTGAAGAGCATAGTTTAAAAAAATATCAAGGAGACTAAGGGGTCTGGCAATTGAAGATCTGCAAACAGTGAACAGCAGGTTGGGAAATGAATGGCTTATTGCGATCCTTGCACAACCACATTCTTCATTTCCGATGACCGCCTGATCACCACGAGTGACCACCACGTCTCGAATTCTGGCTACAATAGTCAAGTATTTCGAAGAAAAACATCCACTCTTAGGTATAAAATTGAATCCCCTATCTTCTCTTCTTAAAAATAGCAAGATAACACCATAATAATACTAATAAACGGCTTTGAGGAGGGCTCTAGTACTTTTCGAAGAAACCACATGTTTTGAGTAGCTATGTGCATTATGCGCATGGGGGTGTAATGGCTCGCGCGCGTATTTGCTCACATTTCCTCAAACCACGCGTGTTCTTCCTCTGAAAAAGGGAAAAATAACCATGAATTTTGTCGCGTTCCCTTTGGGCACTTTTTTTTTAATTGCCTCATTTCTTACTAGTTTTATTACCTTTGAATTCTCTTGTTTTTATTAATTTGTAAGAGCGAGCTGCTTTTATTAAGAAAAGTAACAAATTAACCAACAAATTACTGAATATTGGAAAAACCGTCTTAACGATCCCATGTTTTTTTCCAATTTAAAAAGTTAAGCAATATTGTTAATATAATGTGGAAAAGATTGAAAGACATGTCACCGAGAAAAATTAGAAATATTAAGGAAAAATGATCAAAAATGATAAAACTACTGTCTGTCCAAGGAAGCGATGTTGCCATCGCACAAACCTTTATCTAGAAAATGCAACTTGATAATTAGCGTTCTTATATGGGTGACCATAGCAGTGAATCTCTTAAACAAAATCACTTCAAAGACAAACTTCTGTGTGTGTAACGCATGCTAGACACCAAGGGTTGTATTAGTAAATACTCTAGGGAGCCACTTTAACAGTTGACCTAAGACTTAAGGTTTTTAGTGATGCAAGATCATGTTGAAACAGGACTTTTAAATGTACTGGAATGCATTTTATATTTTGGGAAGTTTTAAATATGCGTAAAGAATATATGTAGCGATAAGAAAGCAGTAAAATGGTTTCTGCGTGTACAGTGTACCTAATTCACGGCGTAGTATTCCTTTTTATCTTTATGGATTTCTTACCTCACACAAATCTTTTAACTTTGCTGTGTTTTGCTGCGGAGGTGATGTGGTTGTTCCCAGCGAACCGACACAGATACAGAGAATCAGGAAAACAGCCAAATAATGAACCATGATGAGAGCTGAACGAGAACACTGCGATTACTGAGATCGGCGCTACGTGTTCGTTAGTTAAATAGTGAATGTTTGAGAGTTAATCTTCTGTTCCTGTTCATTATTTGTTTGTTTTTGCTTGTTTCATTTTCCTTTTAAGGCAATTATATTGCAAATTCTTTGCCTCTGGTCACGTGCCCACGTGCAGGGACTACTGAAACAGGGTCAAAAACATGAAATTTTCAAAAATAAATAACAGTGAATTGTTACAAAGGTAACATTTTTTTCATAATTCTGCTTGGTGCAGCTTTATGTTCCTAGAGCCTCCTAACGGTCTCTCTAGCGTGCCAAAAACTTTCAGACGTTGAAAAAAACTTTGCCTTCAGTATGAGTAAGTTAGACATGTAAAGAAATAAAAACATGAGATTACATTCAGTTCTAGCTAAACAAGCCCTTGACTTCTAAAGTAACTATTTTTATATTCCCTTATACTGCGGCTTACATCCACGTACCATTCATGGAACTGAAGTTAGGTTACCTTTAATTAATTGGTCTGATTTTAAGATGACCCTCTAAGATAAACATGTTGAGCGGTTTGTAGGTGTAAGTGTTGTATTTTGCTAGAGCATCTCCTTCCTCTACTGCTGTCGCTGATGTCATAGAGGTATGGCTGTTGTTCGAAACAAAATGACAATCAAAGCACTAAAAAAAAAGAACAATGTTTAGGTTTAAGGAAGTGTGTTTTGTTGCTGGTGGTGTTATTTTCATTTTTTTTTTTTAATACGCTACGTTATTCACACAGTTTCTACATTTTACCACACTCAGTTCAGAAAACTGAACAAAAACGTAACCACATTGAATAACGATGTTAAAAATTGGACAGTAATGATGACTTTCGTCTCCTGTCAGTGCTGATCCATAATCTCTCTGTTAGGCAGCCACAAAGGAAAGTATAGCATACAATGTGTAAAAGTGCAAAATGATTATTTTAAATATAATTGGTTCAGCACCGAGTATACCATCCAGATGAGCTATTCAAATTTTTTAATGTAATGAGCAAACTGTACGTGCACACGCATAGAGCTGAAACCGGCAGCGTGATACTTTAGTCAGTAGACAGATCTATATCTCCTATTATAATATATTAAGCAGCATTTAAGCTTAAGGGTTAGTTTGGCGTTGTAGTGAGGTATTTCATTCCTTTCCTCTCGTGCTGAATCGTTTCTTGTTATGTCCTTTACAGCCCAAAAGGATACTTCCTTCATACAAAGCGACGTTTACGTTCCAGCACCTGAAACACGTATAAGGAAGTTGAAGGGCCTTTTTTCGTGTCTGGACAGGTCAAGTGAAAGAAAATCACCCATGTCAAGTAAGCTTTTTAATAACGACAACAAAGCAGGAACAAACGAATCTACATTGTACCAGCCGAGAGTAAAAGAAACCTTACAATAGAAATATGTACATTAAGCTAGTAACTGATATGTAATCAATGATGCTGACACTGTCTGCAATAACCATGGGGCTAAAAAGATCAGAGAGCCATTATCTTTAAAATAAATTAAAATGATCTTAATAGCGGAGCTCCACGCGCGCGCGAAACGCGATCGTGGGCGGAGCCCCATAGCTAAGTAAATCTACCCATCCCAGAAAATTTGGTAATCACGTGACCGTACACCGACCGCCGACCGTCCGTCCGCACCACAGGAAAACCAATGTTTACTCTCACACTTTTAGCTAGCTTGGGAGCCCAAGAGGAAACTAATTGCACATCAATTTTGTGATCAATTGACAGCTGTCAAAACAGGGCATCCGCTGACCAGTATCACCTGACCGTACCGTGGGCTCAAGTGTGGACGCATCGAGGTCGAATATTTTTTTGAAGTTATCCGCTGACAAATTACCAGTTTCAAAGTTTATTTTTTCCAAGGATTCATACCAAATATGTTGTTTTTATGTCACTATGGCCTCGCATTATTAGGATTTTGATTTCAAACTGGCCTCGGAAGTGAAAATTTAACCATGTTTTTTAAAAGTACAGGCGGGGAAGAAGACCTTATCTTACCATGGTCACGCGTTGGTCACGCTCTACGTCCAATTTTTGTACTCTGATTGGTCATAATTTGACAGGTGAGTTCATGCGGACAAATTATGCAGCATTTTGAAAGTTGTTTACTTTGACAGCTGAAGCTGACAGAGTTTTGTCGAAACATAGCTATTTATCTATATAGCTATTTAGTCCTCGTACCATAGCTAAATGAGTATTTACCACTTACTTAATGCTATACATTCGTATTAAAATTAACTAACGTATTTGTGGCTATTTTTCCCGCAGCTACATGTAGTTTACGCTCAATGAACTAATGTGTGGTCATTGAACTACTGGTGTGGTTATTGATCTGTTGTGTACTTATTGAACTGCTGTGTGGTTATTGAACTAACAAAAACAAAAACTGTAGTTTACGCTCAATGAACTGATGTGTAGTCATTGAACTACTGGCCCCGGTTGTTCAAACGTTGGATAGCGCTATTCACCGGATAAATCACTATCCAGCGGATAAGTATTATGGAAACCAATTGCGCTATCCACTGGATAGAGATTTATCCGGTCATGATAGCGCTATCCGACGTTTGAACAACCTGGCCCTGGTGTTGTTATTGATCTGTTGTGT